CTCCGATGTACTGGTGGACCTCCAAACTACCTGGACGAGGTGCTACTGTTGCTTGTGATCCATTTGCACGGATGGAAACTGGATCAACGATAGGAGAAAGCCTTGAAGGCACTCAGTTGAAGGAAGAATCCATAGCATATTTAAATTCATGTGGACGCTCAGTTACAAAGTTCATGAACTTTTGAGTACCTGTATGACAACGCTTATCTGATAAGATTTCGAAGAAGTGGAGTAGCAGTGTCCCATGAGATGGCATGCTGACCTCAGAAACAACACGAAGTGCCTGCTTGCAAACATGAGACATTTTCAACGTTTTCTTACACTATGTTTAACGTTTTGTTTTCTGCCTTCTATAATTTTCATGGCAGGTTACTAAGCGAAATACAACCACAACGTTGCTGAGATATTTGCAAAACTCTGGACCGCAGGTGCCTATGGTGGGGAACGAACGCGCTATTATCCTTTCCGGGGAGTAACGCGTTCACCACCACACCATGCGGGTCCTTTGTTTCGCACGTCTCTCAGCTATTCTTACACTCTTGCGTTTCTAACGAAGACTATTCCATCGACGACTCCTAGATTATACCTAGGAGGGCTTTTTAACAGAGCTACAATAATTAGCACAGAATGAAATGCACATCTTGTAGAAAATAGTGCAGTCTATCAAATCTAAATCAAACTCAAGTGCAACGGAAAACATTAGGATCTAAAACATTCCATTCTATAAGAAGCCAAACGCCTTGTGTAGTAGCCCAATTAAAAACAGTGTTTCTCAGCACATCACTTCCAAGAAAACTGGCCTAAATTACTGTTAACATGGAATTCAAGTCGTGGATCCACTGAAGTTCCTCCAACTTCGACATGGTTCCAAAACGGTGCATAAACTATATTAACGTAAATGTAACTACTTAAGTCATAATATCTACAGCATAATAAAAATATATACGGTACAATATATACGAAATATATAGTTACATATACATGCGACCATCCCAATTGTTCACCGCCTCATCATGACTGGGAGGTGGTCCTGGGTGTCGGGTGCGATGTGGAGCGGAAGGATTTATCTTCCGGCAAGGTCTCCCAAGCTGAGGAGACCCGCGTTTCCGTCAGGAAGCCTAGCTAAGAGTAAACCAATACCAGGACCCATCATTGTCCTGGTATCAAAGTCGTGTGGTGGCAAATCTCCCTCTGATCCACAAGGGCGGCGACTGCCTGTGGTGGTGAAGACCTGGGTCAGACTTTGGCCATGCTGACCCCGGGACTCCAGGGAAGCATAATGGCTAAACCAGCAAATCTGCGAACAATGGAGATTATGCTGGGACCACCACAACCAGTGAGGACGGCCCGTTCAAATATAAAGTAAGCAAGTAATACATACTATCATATAAATGACACTGGTACCAACCTTTTGTAAGCCCATCTACGGAACAGTATATCGATCCTTCACGCCCAGGTTAAGTCGAAGTAGGTTTCCCAAAACGAATATGTACATATGCCAATATATACTTATACAACATATATACATATGTATATGAATATAATAAGTACAAAAAAGTGGCAATGAGGAGTATGAAACGGGCTAAACAAACGTGCATCCTACATTTGCTGTACCTAGGACGTGCTCACCTAGCATTCGCTCTAGCATTTCTAGAATCATTAAAGGGAAGGATTCCGGGTGACATTTCTAGGTTTGGCTACTCACCCGTTATTTTATTGTTACAACAATACCGTTCTTCATTCTCTAAACTGAGAACAAAACCATCATCTGCGACGAGTGAATAGGTTCCCATGTCGTCTTCTGCATCGTCACCAACGTCATAGTCACTGTTGATGAGAAAGTGATCGAACAGGGTTTCGTAGCTTTCGTCTGCAGACATGAAACCTCTAAAATCCAAACTCTCGATCAACTGTGGGCAACGTACGAAGTTGTAGTAAATAGAATGGTGCGCTGAAACACGAGAAGAATGCACAAACTATTAACGCACCATAGGAAAATCAGTGGAGAAAGAGATGTTGTTGGGAGGAAGAAAAATACATGCTATTAGCCGCCAAATGGAGCAAATCCACCGTTTATTTTTGAAAAAAAAAGAACAGCTCCCCAGCAATTCATGTCTATGTGAGAAGCAAATTCAACGCATTCTACGTGTTCATTACGTAACAACACCAGAAAGAAAGAGAGATGAATACAGCTCAAGGGAGAACGGAAGATCACAACGGTAGGAAAAGACGAATTAGAGAAGGAATGGAAAGGGTAGAGGGACGGACTGTGCTCCAACGCGCTCCGTGATGTTCAACGCCAACACAGACCGCTACTGTTTGTGAGAGCTAAATTTTGTGAAGTTATTAGGGTTAAAAAAATCTAAAGTACTAATAAAAGCGGGGCAACATCAGGAATACGTGAAAAGCGTCAACAAACAGTTATCTAGAACTAAGGCAACTGTCTTGGCACTTTTTCACTGGTTGTTATTTTTTCATGGGATAAACATAATGCATACCACACATACTATATTGGTACCAACCTCGCGTAGAGTTATGTATAGCTGAGCAAAAGGAAACGAGCGATTTGGGAAGCTTTCAAGAGCATAGAGGATGTTGTGTAGAGTAAAAAGGACATCCGACTCCGCGCTATCCCTTCTGATTCCCCACTCTTCCTGTCACAACGAATTCCTCAGGAACCTGATCGTTGCGTAAGCAGGAAGAGTCGTCGCTCAGCGTTATTCAACGCGCAGTCGAACGGACGATGCTAGGCGTATCCCGGTATCATACAAGTAAGGGAAGGGACCCGAAATTCTAATCTGTTTCATCAAAAGTCCAATGATAAGAAATCAAAGACGCCGTTTTAAACGCTAAATTGTCGAAGATAAGGTAGGCTGGGACATGCAATGCGTATGAACGACAGCCGATGGACACAAGCCATTAGTGACCACAATCCTCGAGACGTCGAAAGTTTTGTACGGACCCCCAGCCCGGTGATCTAAGTCCCTCATGAGAACGCTGAAAAAAGATATGATGCTCAACGAGTCTCTAGAGCGAGTAGAACCCACTGGGCTACTCTTGCAGGCGATAGGGTAAAATAGGTTTACTAGTGCCTGCTCGAGTCACTCAGTGATCCACGGGGCGATAGGTGATACACATGAATATAAGAACAAACAGTAGGGAGAACGAAATCTGAGAAAATGGGCCACTATTAGCATGAACCTTTAGATCTACACCATTGTTGATCTACAATCAATCACCTATTGCTTAGATTTGTGTTCAATCCATTTTAGAAATGTTGTGAAGTATTACTGGTGATAGAGGTTATGCCAAGAATGCTATCGGCTAGTTATCTGCAACCCTGTACCTTCGGTAGAAGGACGAAAGATAAAAGATGCGCAACGTATCCGACTTCATCGAGGACCGTTAAAGATGAATGAGTGCATATCCGGCCTATACGGTGGCTCGCGGTGGCCTACTGGTGTGTTGAGTCAGTGCTGCTATTCTCCCAGACAAGCTTGGTACCAATTTACCGATCCCGGATGTATAGAAGGCTTCGTGCGCCTGGGGCGCGGTAATCGATCCTGTGTTTTGCAGTGCACAGCCATCAGCAATCGATAGAACTAGCTGAGAAACAGGTGGAAAGAAGGACCCGCATAGTGTGGTGGTGAACGCGTTACTCCCGGAAAGGATAGTAGCGTTCGTTCCCCACTGCAGACACCTGCGGTTCGGAGTTTTGCAAATATCTCAGCATTATGAAAGTTATATTTCGCAACCTGTTAAGGATGCTGTTCTAACTTTTATTTATGTCTATTCTTCTTTCATGAGAGGGTATGATGAGAAATACAATCACATCGATACCGAGATATAAATAAAAGCGTGGAAAAGCTTTGCGTCCAAACAAGTAACTCAGTTTTGCTCGCATTTCAGCATGCTTATGGTTGTATTTTTCATTATAGTCGGCCATGAAAAAAGAATATATAGTAGATAAGAGTTACATCACTGTGATTTCGACTGGAACCTCAGCTTAACTGGGTTCGATGTCGATTTGTGGTCCCCAGACCATCCCCATAGACGGATGATTGCTGATGGCGCTGAAAACTACGGTTAGTACTACCACGATGCTGAAATATTTGCAAAAATTGAAACCCGGACCAGATCGAACCACGACTTCCCTTACCGAGGCTCACGCATTACACACTGTACCACGGAGCCCCTTGCTTTGCGTTTTCGTGGTTATATCTGGCCCGGGGTCCACGTTTTGCGAATGCCTCAGCATCGTCCCGGTTGTAATTTACATCATATCGTGCCGTGAAAAATTACAGTACGCAGAAAATGAAAGGTTAACTACGGTTACTGTTTTAGCATTTAAAACGAGGTACCGAACGAAGATTTGTCGCTTGAGGGAAATCCGCATGTCCATTTCATAGCACACCTAAATCAAACAATTCTTTTTGGTTACGCAAACGTGTGGCAAAAGAATATCCAACAAAGATTTGGTGGCTCCACCTGATGGCTTTTACTCGCAAGTTCTGAGGGTCGCGGGATTTTTCTAACTCGATTCATTCTTTAGTAGATCTTCGTCCATACGGCTCAAGCTGGAAATACTAGCAACCGTCTACATCCGCCTCGTTTAAAGACAATGCACACTTCTCAATCAGAGTTTGTTTGTGACGCAGAAGACTTCTGAAACACAATGACTGCGCAATGAAGTCCAGGACTCTTGCGAACACCACCTAAATCCCCACACATTCCGAATACTCTGATTTCGTTGGAGTGCTGTGATCGAAATGTATTATAATTATAAAAGAATATCACAAGTTACATGGCTAAAATTGGTGACGACTTGCCACCAGCACGCAGATACCTGCAGAAGTCTTCGAACGAAAAATCAATACCGAGACTAACCCAGCGGGCCACCGACACAACCACACATTGCCACAAGCTCCGCCCATCGCTGGTTTATGAAATTTGGACCACGCCCACTGTGTTTGCATATAAAAGGATGTTAGGAGTCGTTGATGCATTCACGGTCGATGTTGGAGGCTGGTCCTGATCAACCCGCTAGAGAAATTGGAGTCCATTTCCTGCGACAGGAGTGTTCCACGTTCAACTACGACAATCCGGACGTCCTCTATCGGCAATTTAGGAGGGAGGTGAATAGGATAGGCGGACGAGATGCTAGAGCGTATTGGACTAAAGGTGAAAACGAGGTCAAAATCAATGATGCAGAGACGCTGTTTAGTGTCGTTCAAGGAAGGTCCACCGTGAGAATCAGGATCCAGGCACGCCGCAGCAGGAGAGATCCACACTTGAATGGTGATAGATCGAGCCGTGGTGTGAGTAGCGAAGACCGCGTCGGTTTCGCCGGCCCTCGCCACTCTAACGGTGGATCCTCTACGATGGAAGGATGGCGGTGTTTGTATTGTGGACATGTGCGTTACATTGGTGGCGGTGATCCGCCGCCCACTGGCTATAATGGCTTAGTGCCGCCCGAGTTCGAGTGGAACGGACTCCGTTCGCTGCCTGTGGGCCCTCTGTTGGAGCAGAATCAGGCGAGTGATAGAGCCAGCCGTTGTCGGATCCTGTGGCGCTTTGTGCCTGTTCCTTACTTTGAAGATGTGGACATGTCGCGCCCGCCCAATGGAGATCACTAAGTAACCTAGTTTGTATCCCGTACTATGTGCTTGGTCTGCGTTAATAAAGTTTGTTGCGAACTGTGTTTTGTTGTGTTCTGGAATCAGAGCAAGAGCATGTTGGTGATAGTGCACAAAGGAGTTGTTACACAAGTGGCAGCAAGCATGGTTTGGCGTAATAGTTTTGCAGAGCGTTGTTGTGTACTCGTTAAATGTTACCCATATCAGGGAGAGTGGTTCTTCTTACCTCTTCTCCCGTATTGGCACCATTGAGTGGTGCCTTCATGTTTCTCAATGTTTTTGTGGGATGTGTGTGGTTCAGGCAGAAACAGTGGATTTGCTGCCAGTGTGCTCGGTTCCAGAAAAGCTGTTCAGACGAGGCAAGCAAAGCAATGTACGAGAACAGGGTTCCTCGGTAACAGTATTCGAGACCTCTCCCACGAGCATTTTTCAGCTGTGGTTTCGGAATTGTGGTACCCAGTAGATAACCCCACATTTAACACGGTGCCCACTTTATATTTTAGCATTTAACCACAACATACTTGCTTCTGGGGCAGACTTTGGCCTGGCTGACCTAGGGAGTTCGGGGAACCACAATGGCTAAGCCAGCAAAACTCCGAAAAAGTGGAGATTCTGCTGGAGCCAGCACGTCTAGTGAACACAGGCCATGAAAGGGTCCAAGTAGTATAGTCGCGTCACCAATGGATATCTTCACTTCAGTCGGAAGTCTACTGTATTCGTTCAACACCGGGATTTCAGTCAACCGTCGCGATGTTTCTCGAATGCATTCCAGTTCCACTATTATTCTATGGTTGGTATACCTTGGATTGGCACATTTTCCAGTAGGTTTTCTTAATCGACTTTCATTCTTTTTCAAGATATACCTGTTTGTTTTTCATAGTTTGATTTTATAGAGACGATAGATATGCTCGCTTCTGTGACGTCTTAAAGAAAACTCAATCATGAACCCGTGAAGAAAACGCATGTCGACTACTTTCACTCCGTGTCGTCATTGCGTTCAGCCATAGTTAAAAAGACGGTGAGGATCTTGAAAATAAGTTGTTTGATAGCATTTTCATTAACTCTCTGGCAGGCCGCTCCTAATTTTGCGTTTTTGTGGAGCGGAGAATTTTAATTTTTCATTAGGCTCACTGTGACACCTCTAGATGTCATGCCGGCCAATCTGCCATGTTTCATCGTAGTCCCACCCATTTTCGTTGTGATTTCCCTTCTATAAACCGGTTTTTCTCTATGTGTTTAGAAAACTTCTTCATTTCTCTTGCTCCACATATGCTCCGTTTTCTTCTGCACACCCTCCTATGTTCTTGGACTATGGACTACATACAACTTTTGCGTGTGATGAAAGAAACGCTCGTCCTCCATTCGTATTTCTGTTAGGGCTTAATGAAGTTGTATAAGTTCAGCAAGGAATATTACGATGTTTACCTTTTAGTTTTGATATCCCTCATTTCTAGCAGTACCCAAAAGTTAGAGCTATTGAAACTCAGGAACCACCGAATTGCTTCTCAAAAATGGTGCGGCACACTGCGTACGATGCCAGTTCTTCGATAGCTCTGCGTAGTTTCGCGATGACTAATGTATTTCAGGAGTTGGAGCTCTTCAGGAGAAAGGACAAGACATAGAAGAGGCTTTGCCCTATCGTTCTATGGATAAATATGTTACCATATATCCTCTGATTCCGTGCGATAACCATGACTCATCATGGTGACCTCGAATGATGGAACAATCAATAGTTTCGTAAGTTGGTGGGATTCGCTACAGGTTTCCTTACCCATTTTATGTCACACTTATTTAAGAATGTTCTAGGAGTCGTTGCATGCCGTCCTGTTAGGTGCAAAACTAATCGGAAGCTAGAACTAACAAAGATCGTTTGTGAGTACAACAGACCAGCTGGCCTACTCTCGTGCGCAGGAGGACCACAACGTGGTACGTCACTAATTTACACTATAAGTGCATGGTCATATGTAACACATAGGAAAAAATATCAATTACTTGTTGAAAGTTGAATGCCTTCAGCACGTAACCGTGTTTCTAACAGCTTTCTGACTGGTTTACCATTGAGTTTGAGGTGTTTTCTGTCAGCTTTATGCTTTTCGTACCCAATGACTCCATACTGTTGGGGTTGTAAACACTATATATTATGTGTAAATAGTAGTAGTATAGTTATTTAATGCGAATTATATGTAACAAAGGGTACTGTTTATGGAAATTTGAGATCTTAACGTTGTTAGGAAGTGTTAGTTCTGGGTTTTTGAAGTTGTGAAGATTCTCACTGCTATGTGACGAGTCCTAGTTGTAGAAACTCTTTGAAATAAATTCTTCTATTTCGATGCCTATAGGAGCATCTGGTACAAGCCAGTCGTTGGTACGTGAACTATTTGATGTATTTGTATGTATATACATATTTATCCATGTATATATTTACCTTAGAAAGACGAATTTCACACAACCCCGGCACTAACTGTCGAGATGTTGTCCTATGGATGGACTGACACAAAGTAAGTACTCATATCTTATATGTCGTATATATTACTTACTTGGATGCTTGGATGACCCGTCTTCACTGGTTGTACGGGCCCCAGCATGATTTCTAATTCTTGGAGTTTTTCTCGCCTTGCCATTGTGGTTCCCTGCATATATGTTTCACCCTAACCCAAGTCTGCTATGTGTTTGTTGTAGGTATTCTAATGGTTTTAGTTTCATTTAGTGGTGGCTTAAATCTAAGAACTAATTCCCACCACCTACTTTCAACTAACCTCGACATTGATCCAATAATTTTTTGTACTCTTCTTGAACAAACACGATGTGTAACTTTTACTTTGATGTTTAATAAGAGGTCTTTTACAAATGACACCTCGTATTTGCTCAAGAAAAGTTTAGAACCCATGTTATTCCCAACTACGTATGTATTTGAGTCTATGCAAATCATTGTGAATGTTCCAAACATCTTTTATGGTATTCAATGACTTTGTTGGGAAGCTCTTCAATTTATTATTTTGGAGTTGGTGATCGAACAGTCTCTGTTAGGAAATCTCTCCACCTCTTCAACTTTTGCGTATCCGATGTCATCATCTGTTTATGTCCTCGTGCTCTCGGACCACACATGATTCCTGCATGTGGTGAGAAAGAACTCGTTCACCATCCAGTCATAATGCTGTCGGCATTTAATGAACTTGTGGAAATTGTGCAAAGAATATTTACAGCCTCTACTTTGCCGCCTTCATATCCTTCCATTCCCAAAAAGGCATGAGATTCTATATATCGATCAAGAATGAGGTGAGAACGAGTTGCTTTTCAAAAATAATGCTCCACGCAATGTGCGATTCCAGTTCTTGAATAACTCTGGACAATTTTTCAGTGATTGTTGCACTTCAGGAAATGGGATTCCAACAGAATTATGGAACAACCCTTGCTCTGTTGTTCTATTGGTGTTAGTATTGCTATCATTCTACGATAACCACTATTCATCGTGGCAACGTGAATACCAGAGACCTGGTGGTGAGCTTTTCTCGACTCTAGGGAATCTAGCAAGCATTACGTCACTTTTTCGCATTGTTTTAACCTATATATGCTTGTGTATGTTTATATTTCGCTGGCACTTCATGTAGCAATTCCGAAGGCTAACTTTCTTCTAACTTCCGCGTTGATCAACACTCACTGTTTCCTTGATGACTAGAGACGAGGTTGTTATTGCTGCACTTGTTCATTCACAATATGTGGTGTTTCGACGATTTTGTCTTCTTCTGATCCCGGAAGAGTCAAAGTGACCCGCAATCCGCTTAGGCAAATACTTTTATTACCCCATCAGACAGAAATTAAAGCATAAATGTTCGTTGTGAATTATTGCTTAGATGTTTATTGCAAAGTGCAAGTGCAAACAACCTCGTGTTTGCTGGTCAAGAAAACAATGAATTACGAATGTATATGTTTTAGAAAACCTACCTTCACTTAACCTCGCCATGAAGGGTCGATACAATGTTCTATGGATGGGCTGACACGAAGTTGGTACCAATATCGTAAATGTCGTATGTATTACTTACTTGGACACTTGAACTACCCGTCTTCACTGGTTGTGTGGTGCGCAACATCATTTCCGTCTCTTCGGTTTTTTGATGGTTTAGTTACAGTGGTTCCCTAGAGTCCTAAGGTCAGCCAGGTCAAATTCTGCCCCAGTTCTTCACCACCACAGGCACTCGCCGCCCTTGTTGATCAGAGGGAGATTTGCCACCATGCGACTAGTTTTGTACCAGGACGGTGGTGGATTCTGGCGTTGGTTTACTCTTAGCTGGGCTTCCCAATGGAAACGTTGGACTCCTTCTCAGCTTGGGAGGCCCTGCCGGAAGATGAATCCTCCCGCTGTACATAGCAGTCCGACACCCAGGACCACCTATTAGTCACGATGAGGTGGTAAACAACTGGGATGGTCGTATGTATTCTATATGTATTATGTCGTATATATTGTACTGTATATATTTTTATTATATTGGCGTTTACGCATTGTTTTATAACCATGTCGACGTTGATGGAGCTTCAGTGGATCCACAACTTGAACTTCAAGTATGCAGTAATTTAAGCCAGTTTTCTTGGAAATGTGCTGAGAAACAGCCTTTTTATTTAGGCTACCACATAAAGCATTTGGCTTGTTATGAATGCAATGTTTTAGATTTTAACGACTTCCGTTTAATTCGATGTTGGTTTAAATTTGAAAGACTGCATTATTTTCTACCACGTTTGCATCGTAATTTCTGCAGACCATTGTGAATGTTCCTAAGATTTCGTGTGGGATTTCATGAGGTTCAACAGTCTGATCAAACACCTGGTCCTTCACCTCTCTTCGTTGAATATCCTCTTTAACACACCAGTGTGAGTAATTTCTCTTCTTCACGGCTTAGTTCACTTTGTCCTGAAAGCACTTCCTAGCATGAATTTGGTACTTTAAGTCCGACGAAATTCCAAGAATGTAGACCTGAACTGTATGCAGTGAATGCAACAAATATTTC